AGTAAACTAATTAAGACATGCGTGTCCGTCAACCTTAAACAATAATCTTTGTCAATTTTATTTTTCAGTCTTTATGATGGTCGATACTTGGTCTATCTCTTACTGTTACATCCCTGGGCAACGCCGGGCTCTACTGCTAGTAACAACTATGATAAGGACACCAGTCAGCGCGTAAATAAAGTAATTCAGACAGAAACTAATCATTTTGCTTTCAAAAATCCTCTTGCGCTTTCGACCCAAATAACCAGAAATTTAATGACAAGAGGCAAAGGGAAATTTGTCGCTAATTATTATTTTTATTTTTCGGACATGCGCGGTAAGACGGATAAAGTAATTGTCTTTTAGTGTAGCGAAAATAAGATGCGCAACTGTGAAATGATTCAAGAAATCAATCACACTATCACAGTCCTTTCTACGTAAGCCGAAGTATCAGCACGAGTTAAAATCAAACTGAACCACTGCACTCAACGAATATTTTAGAAGCTTACCCACAAAACCAAAACATTAACAGGAGAAATAGGTTAAAGGTGAAATAGTCTCGTCTGATAGAGACATCCTTAGGAATGCCATACATTCAACTTGTTCAGAAAATTCGAAGCTCTCAACAGTATACAACCGTTTAAAGCAACGGAGATACCAAAACATGAATACCAAATTGTTCAATGCTACAATATTTAAACCCAAATATCTTACGTAAATCTGACCGACGCTGAAATGCACGGCACTAAAATGTGGGAGTAAAAACATTTGGCGTTAAAATGTGTCCGCTAGAATGCCCAACGCCAAAGTGCTGAACGTCAACGTTAAAATGGCCGACGTCAAAATGGCCGACATCGAAATGGCCGACGTCAAAATGGCCGACATCAAAATGGCCGACGTCAAAATGGCCGACATTAAAATGGCCGACATCAAAATGGCCGACCTCAAAATGGAGGTGGGTAAAATGTAGGCGCTAAAATTTCTGACGTCAAAATCTATATGCTAACATGCCAGACGCCAAATTGTCGGACGCTAAAATGCTTGACAGTAAAATGCCCGACGTCAAAATTGCCGATGCTGACGTTAAAATGCCCAACGTCAAAATTGCCGATGCCAAAAGGAATGACTTCAAAATGACCGGCGTTAAAATGTCTGATGTTAAAATGCCTAACGTCAAAATGGCCTATGTCAAAATGCCCGGCATCAAAATAACTTTCGTGAACATGTCTGGCACTAAAATACCTGGTATCAAATTGTGAGCACCAAAATGCCCGACACCAAATTAACCAATGTCAAAATATGGGCATTATACTGCCCAACACCAAAATATGCATGCTAAATATCCGACGTCGAAATAGAGACTCCAAAATTCCCGACGATAAAATGCTTGACTCCAAAATATCCGATTTCTCAGGGAAAATATGCATAAATTGAAATTATGAAAATTAGGTGGTAATATTTATCTATTATTGTTTTTCTTGCCAAACGATAGTGCCGTTTCATTTTAATAATGCGTGAATGTTTATCTATTATGTGAGTAATGGGTTGCAAAAATCCAGACAATTTTCTCCAGGATCCAGCGTCAAGGTAGAGTTAATAATAATAGAAACATCGATAATGAGAAGTTTCGTCAAGGTTGGCAAACTATTCAATACAAACAAACAATTTGATTGAATGAGTGGTGGTGGTGCAAGAGCCGGAAGTCCTATTAGTACAAGCAAAAAAGAAAGCGGCTTCTCAACCAATAAAGTCGTCATTTCAAAAGCAAACGCTCGAATTTGTCAATGAAATCACAGCAAAAGAAAATGCCAATATTTTCATCCAATTAACGCTAGTTAAATCTTGTCAGCAAAATGACTCAATCCATTATTTGATAATAAAGTAACTAGAGACAACATAGCGAATCAGCAAGAAAAGAAGGAAGTAATTTCCTTTTTCTTTTCTTGGATGAAAATATTTTTTATTTGCCAAAACGACACAAGTTTTCCTTGAAAAAAAAAGTGTAAGAGGATTTTTTTCGCTTGGATCTGTCAATCTTTCCAATCAACGTGATAACAAAATTTTATAAAAATGTGTAAATGAGAGAAATAATTAATTTCACCTTGAGAAAAACAGAGGAAGACAGAACGGTTCAAAACGTTGTGATGAAAAGAAAAGTGATGAGGATAGTCGATCTTGTAATTTACTAAATAGTGACAAGATTTCGTCTCAAGAAGTCAGTCTACAAAAGGTCATAGATATAAACGCGTAATGTTTATATTATACAAATAATTATTCAATGGCTTCATATGAAAGGTAGTTTTTATTGCCCGCCGACTCTTCACAAAAACTGATAAAAGTTTATTGGCATAAATAATTATTCTAACGTTTATTTTATACTAATCGCTTTTCTATATTTTGTTTCCAGGCTTGTTTTCTATAAAAATATTATTGTCGAAAATGATAATTAAAGAATATCGACTTCTCATATACGAATTCAAATTTGGCATCAGTATCAAAAAGGTTCAGCGAAACATGAATTTGGTATTTGGTTGTAGTATTGTTAATGTCAGAAATATATAGAGATGGTGTTCAGAAGATGAAGGCCTTGAAAATGAACTGAGAAGAAAACCCAATTCAGTCATAAATAATAAGTGCAATAAATTAGTTTGACAAAAGCAGAAAACAATAGTCAGTGCAGCCATGAAATTAACCATATGCAGGAAAGAAATAATAAAAAAGAAACAATTTTTTAAGTGTTTTGACAGAGGACAGTAAATCCGACACTGAGATCCATAGACACATTGGGATGACCAAGGACGCATTCCAAAAGCTGGGCAGCGTATTGCGAGACAGGAAGATTTCTTTGGTAACAAAGAAAAGAGTATTGAGCTGTTACGCCACATCTGTCCTCCTTTACGGCAGCGAATGTTGGTGATATAATGGAATATGCACACACCTGTGTTCCCCCTCACTGGAATATGATTGGCTGGTGCCCGTCATAAATACAGATTAACGTGTAGGTATGACAGAGTTTAAGTCTATGACGACGCCCATTGGACTACGCCATTGGCTATTCTATTGGTCTACACCTATTACCTGCGACTACCACGAGTACCAGTCGATTACTGCTACCGTGTACTACTTGGTTATAGTAACCAAACCCATTTAGCTACTTCGATCAAATATATCCCTTTCCGGGATATATCAGTTGGACAGTCCCCTCAAAGATAAAGGAGAGACTCGGGTCGACGGTGATGTCGTTCTACAGAAGGATGCTGAGAATATCAGGGACCAAGCGTGTGATTAACGATGAGGTCTTAGAGAGGATGCAAACAAGGAGGAGTCTTATACTTACCATCAGGAAGAGGCCGCTGAAGTTTCTGGGACATGTAATGGGAAAACAGGGCCTGGAGAATCTGATACACACAGGTCGAATGGAAGGAGAGAGAGAGACAAGGGAAAGCAACGCATGGCATACCTGGCGGGCTTGAGCAAGTGGATGACAGAACGTGGTCTGGCGAAGGTGGCAGAAGGACGAAACTTATTGAGAGCCACAAGGGATAGGAAGAAGTGGAGATCCATGATCGCCTACATTCTGAAAGGACATGACACATAAAAAGACTAGAAATGGGTTTAATTTTGTTCTATCGCAATGCCCGCCTTCTCATTTCACGGTCCACCTTTCAAAAGTTGTACAACCTTGTTTATGAGATTTTAAGGCTTCCATCTTATTCAGTGGATTTTGCCTCTTCCATAAGCTATAGAATATTGTCTTATATAGAAGTTTTTGAAACAATTAAACAGTTTATTAAGTTAAAATAATACTTTTTTAATGGGATAAACGGGTTAAAGTTACTTTGGTAGAAGGCCTTGGAAAAATACACACATTATTTTAATAAATTTTGATTAAATGAAATAATGTTTTTTTTTGTCTAACTCTTTCAAGTCCACATTCACGTAATTGATGTAAACAGCAAAAATGTTATTGTTCCTTTCAATAGACAATTCTAAATGACTTTGACTTAGAAAAATAATATTATTGAATGTATTATATATATATATATATATATATATATATAGCAATGGGACACTATGTCCGTTTGATCCCATATCAATGTGTTTTTGAGACAAGTATGTCCCGCAGGACGTGTTGAAAACATTTGTGGGACACATATGTCTCAGGGGACTCGAAAGGGTTAAATGAAAATATTTTTTGTCGGGAAATGCATTTTACAGGGAATCCCGAGAGTGGGGGAGAATGAGACTGGAACTGGAATTTGATCTAGATATGACCTAATGAGCTTTCGCCCTTGGTACATTATTATTATTATTATTATTATTATTATTATTATTATTATTATTATTATTATTATTATTATTATTATTATTATTATATTCCCTTTCGTTTCTGATGTATACTCATTTCTTTCCGGCTCCCGACCAGAGACCCAAGTGTAAAAATGGCATCATGACATTTTCCACTGAGCAGTTTTGAAAAAAAAATGACATATTTTACATAGATAAAACCTTTCGTAAAGTGTGGGTTATACCTGTGAGAACATTTTTTTGTATTTTAAGGCATGGGCTACCAGGAATCTCTTCAATGAGTCTACTGGAATCTTTTCCAGTCAATCCGAGTGCTCCAACAACAACTGGAATTGTTAATGTCTTCATATGCCGCATTTTAGAGTTTCGATTTCAATTTGTATTTTGATAGTTTTTTGAAGATCTTCAGAGATAAATTGCAATCTGCAGCGACTGCCATATCAATAATGAGGCACATTTTGTCTTTGCGGTCTCTAATTACGATGTCAGGGCGATTAGATTTGATTGTTCTCTCTGTATGCTTTGTAAAGTCTCATAAAACTCTTACAGCTCCTGTCTCAGTAACCGGGTCTGGGTGGTGTTCACAGTAATTTCTTGCAGTCTCCTTTCCGTAAGTGTTGCAGATTTTACAGTGCAGATATTGACCCACTCTGTCGTGTCGAGTTTTATATTCAGTCTATTATTATTATTATTATTATTATATATCTGCTTAGACCATTGAATATCTATCTATCTATCTATCTATCTATCTATCTATCTATCTATCTATCTATCAAAATTCACCCTGAGCAACACGGTAATGTCACTAGAACGCAGCCGGTTACAGGGAGTGAAAGAGAACAACAACAACAAAAACCCCAAAAAAACAAAAAACAAAAAAAACAAACAAAAAACAGAGAGTGGGTAGTATTGTGGCTAAAAATGAAGGGGGTTCAAGAAGACGGAAGAAGTCGATGGACTTTGCATTTAAATGTTTGAAGATTGGAGTTATCGTGAAAACAAGAAAAACGAAAGAGCGAGAAAAGAAATTGTTGGCGGTTGCATCTAGCTATTTCAACAGTAAAAGGGTGAGACCTAGATACCAATCTAGTAGCACACTTAAATTCATGTAGTCGACGCAACAGAGAAAAAAGATCATCAGAGCAGTTGCCATGAAAATATTTGTAGAAAAGACAGAGAGAAGCCACGTCACGTTGGTGAGAAAGTGACTGAGGTCGAAATGCCAGGTCAGGATCGATTACATTACAGATCTATCTATCTATCTATCTATCTATCTATCTATCTATCTATCTATCTATGGCTATATCTATTGCTCAAATTGTCATCTATCTATCTATCTATCTATCTATCTATCTATCTATCTATCTATCTATCTATCTGATTCTGTTCATTACCTATCTATCTATCTACCTATCTATCTATTGCTCGAAATGTTTGTCTCAAATTGTCCTTTATCTATCTATCTATCTATCTATCTATCTATCTATCTATCTATCTATCCAACTCGATCATTCTTCATCCCAATTTTCCTGTTTCTCAAACACTCGATTTTCGCCATAAATAGCAATTCCATCACGTAACGCATTCTTCGTCCGACCGACTGGCTTTGTATTCGGCCTGTGGATCTCCGCGATCATGTCATCTCTGATGTATACAGATAGAGACAATTAATACCGAATCCTATCCATTCAGTTAAGGCAATATCACTGACTATCAACACGAATTATTTTATTTTAGAGACACATCGAATCTTTGAAATTGATCGAAATGCATAGAATCTGTGAAGACTGTAGTCGAGCAAAGTCTCTTGAAACGAACAATTTTATATTTCTTTCTCTGGGTTGGTCGCAAAGAGAAATCATCGGAGATTTTCGACAGTAATTGCTAAGTTTATGCAATCTCTCCTTTGAGAAGGTCAATTTCATATCTATCTATCTATCTATCTATCTATCTATCTATCTATCTATCTATCCCAGTCTGTTATCTATCTATCTATCTATCTATCTATCTATCTATCTATCTATCTATCTATCTATTTCAGTCTGTTAATTATCTATCTATCTATCTATCTATCTATCTATCTATCTATCTATCTATCTATCTATTTCAGTCTGTTAATTATCTATCTATCTATCTATCTATCTATCTATCTATCTATCTATCTATGCGAACTCATACCAAGTGACTGAAGTATGAGATAATAATAATGATAAACAGACAGATAGGTGGATTGATAGGGAGATAGAGTGATTATTAACCGAATAGTATATATATATATATATATATATATATATATATATATATATATATATATATATATATATATATGGATTGGTAAGTATTAACAGACTGAATTAGATAAGCAGATTTGACCAGATTCGGACAGATATTGTATGCACGATACCCTCAGTAAGTATGCGATCATGATTCGCCACAACTTCATGACTTTTCTTCCGATTTGATCCCATCCATAATAATAGGATGTTAAGCTTGGATAGTAGCAAGAGAAGTTATCTGTAGGCATAAAAATCTATCCAGTACATTAAGTAAACATTCCCGTTCAACATTCCATGAAGGTTACGCCGATCAACAGACACCAGATGGAGACTGGAGCGCAAAACGACCAAAAGGTTCCCGATAATAACAGTACAGATGAGGACATTGGGCCGATAATGTAAATAAAGATAACTCCATCTCCCAGAAATTGAGACTGAAATTAAACATTAAACAGTGAAGTTTTCCCATCAAAATTCAGCCAATATCTGACTTAGGCGACGCAATTATTGATCCAGCCTCTTTGCTATATTTTATTGTAGAAATGTTACGCAAGGTGTTACAGGGTGTGGGCAATTAGGAACAGAAACATTAGTTATGAGGAGAAAGAAAAGAGTAATCATTTCACCCCAAGCAAGGCAGAAGCATCACTACTACGCAGGGGGTTACAGAGAGCAAAAGTGATAAAAAAGGGCTGGGTATAGGGGGGAGATTGGGGAAAGGATAAAAGATGAAGGGGGTTCAAGACAAAAGAAGATGGCGATTGATTTTACATTTAAATTTTTGGAGAGTCTAGTTATCAGAAAAGTAAACGTAACGGAAGGTGTTCCACTGTCGGGGAGTGCGAGAAAGTAAACTGCTGGAGATGACGTGGTAGTTACATTTAGCTATTTCAACAGTAAAAGGCTGGGACCTAGATGCCAATCTAGTAACACGTTTAAATTCATGTAGTCAGGGCACCAGGGAAAAAAGCTCGTCAGAGCAGTCGCCATGAAAATATTTGTAGAAAAGACAGAGGGAAGCCACATCACGACTCTGAGAAAGTGACTGAAGCCGAAATGCCAAGTCAGGATCGATTTCACACTCTACTTTGGATTTTGTCAAGATCCTCGAGATGAACTGTAGGGACACCAGAACCTATAGATATTTTCTTAATCAATATCAACTCAAGCAAGGCAGTGCAGCCATTAGCACGTTACAAGGAGTTAGAGGGTATAGAAAAATTAGGAACAGAAACATTAGTAATGCGGAGAAAGAAACGAGCAATCAGGAGGACAGGAGATTGATATTGCATTTAATTTTTTGCAGATTAAAGTTGGATGGAAACATGGAGCCAGGAGGGAGTTCCACAAGCGAGAGGTGCGGGATAATCTCGCCGCCATTCTAGTATTGCGTTTAAATTCATACAGTCTAGGCACCATAGCGTAGATCTCATCCGAACAATTACCATGAAAGTATTTATAAAAAAGGCATAGAGAGGCAACCTTAAGACGGTAGGCACACGACTGAAGATGAGCCGCCAGATCAGGACCAATAATATTGCTGATTCTTCTTTGGATCTTATGGAAGAGCTCCAGGAAAATAGCAGGGGCACCGGACCATATATGGCAGCAATATTCTAAGCAGGAACGAATAATAAACTCATAGATATACAAGATGCAGGAGAGAAAAATTCTCTCGCTCTAAACAATGAATAAACTTTCTTAGCAGCTGATCTAGCGATGGATTTGTTCTAAATTTCAAATAACGCAATATCTTCAAAGTTTTCTGTTTGTGCTGTTTTTGTCCAGTACAAATTTATTCTTAAAATTAATGTCTTATGACAATATGTATATTTTGAAAGCGTTATCATATGTCGAAACTTAGTGTCGGCCGCATTTTTTCACATAGCCACCTACATCTTACCGTCCCTGGGTGAAATAGGAAGGAGAGAGTGACAGAGAATGTCCCTTTCTATTCATAGGCTTAGGGAACGTCCCTTAGTGGCGTTTTTTTTATAGGAAAGTAAGTGGGGTAACTACACAATAACAACTGATCGTTCTTCGACAAACTGAGAGAATGGAATGAAAAGATGCCTCCAAGAATGACGGGCTTCCAATCACTTTTGATTATAAACGACCAGGATCTTGATATTTTCACACTTGAAGGCAAGGAAAACAAATTATGGCGCAAATATAACACCGTTGACAGAAAACTATTTCGATTTATGTTTATTTGGTTCTACAGAGCGAAAATAGAGTTTTACAAAAATCAAAATCAATAACTATAATCTACGCCTTGTAGCTTCGATCACATATTAATAATTCTCACCATTTGAATAACACGTCCAATATTTCTAAACATTTACAACAATATACCTGTCCTCATTTGCAATTCAGGAAAATCCTTGTCGAAAATACCTCCATACTCTTTCACGAGAAGAATAAACACAAGCTAAAAATTCTTGAAGCTATTTATATTAAAGAACTGAAACCAAACCCTAATAAAATTAACTAAGAATACTAGACAAACGCTTCAAAATGTGTTCAATAGACAGTCCGAAATGCCCAGGTTTGTACTAATAGTTTTTTCCTTTATTTTGTTCTACTACACATTTCGGAAAATCTTTGCACAACATACCTAGTTACCTCCCCTTAAACGGTCTTCCGTACACATGCTATGGCGAAACACTCCTTACTCCACATATAACAAATTTAATTTTCAGATGATCACAACAATTTTATCTTTCACAACAATGAACACTACAATAGTTATCCTGTAATTAACAATACCATTGATATTCGACATAGCACAATGATGATATTGTGCTATGTCAAAAGTACACTATTTACATTATTCGGACTATTGTCCTCATCTTTGTTGCCATATTTATTACAGCGTTTCGGCGGTTGTACGCTTCGGCCTTCTTCTGGTGGTTGGAATGTTGAACTGAATGCTTTATTTCGCTCACATGCTTAAGGAAATAAGCTTTGTCGTGATTAACCAATAAAATGTGACCTACGCTAAATTCAAAACTATCAGAAAAATTTTTAACATACGTCATGACACGGAGTTGTCTGTATATAAATCCTTGTCTTTATGGACAGATACAAGTTACATTATAGTGACTGTTTTAGTTCCACGTGCCATGTTTAATGGATGTCAGTTATCAATTATCTCCTGTTAATTACCCTCTCCAAGTTCTTCACTGCCTTAACTGGGTATTGAACTCACACATTTTGTGTACTGTCACTGGATCTAACCAACATCATTTCAAGCTGCATGTCAACGGCCGAAACGTTGTAATAAATATGGCGACAAAGATGAGGACAATAGTCCGAATAATGTAAATAGTGTACATAATACCTCATCTCGGAAATATAGACAGATACTGAAAGGCTGAAGCGTTGTAATAAATATGGCGACAAAGATGAGGACAATAGTCCGAATAATGTAAATAGTGTACATAATACCTCATCTCGGAAATATAGACAGATACTGAAAGGCTGAAGCGTTGTAATAAATATGGCGACAAAGATGAGGACAATAGTCCGAATAATGTAAATATTGTACATAATACCTCATCTCGGAAATATAGACAGATACTGAAAGGCCGAAACGTGATAATAAATATGGCGACAAAGATGAGGGCAATAGTCCGAATAATGTAAATAGTGTACATAATAGCTCATTTCAGAAATATAGACAGATAATGTGGAAAGTAATCGGTAAATGAATACAATGTATCAACACGGTGTTTTCCTCTCGTCTTTCAATAATCACACAAAAAAGCTTATCCGTGAATTTGAAAGGATTCTATCAAGAATAAGTAGACATAACATGTGTAAATTATTCAACGAAACATGTCTCAATACATACATATACATACATACATATATATATATATATATATATATATATATATATATATATATATATATATATATATATATATATATATATTGATATCGAGTCTACACCCCATAAATATAGCATGTTTTATAGTAGATTTTTTATCATATTTTTTATATATATATATATATATATATTTATATATATATATATATATATATATATATATATTGATAAAACTATGTTAAAAATCGCTACACAATTACAATCAAGTTTCAACACCACAAATGTGTCTCTTCAGGCGATGTTAAACCACTGTTACTTTAATTTCAAAAGCTGAGTACTTAAGGAAATAAGCTTTGTCGTGATTAACCAATAAAATGTGACCTACGCTAAATTCAAAACTATCAGAATTTTTTTTAACATACGTCATGACACGGAGTTGTCTGTATATAAATCCTAGTCATTATGGACAGATACAAGTTACATTATAGTGCCTTTTATTTATCAAGTATGAAATTTTATGTTAGAAGATGAACGAGCATATAACTTGTTAGCATTGCGTTAAATTACCTCCCTACCCTTTTTAGCTTTTACTTATTTGGAAAGTATAACGTCAGACTTTGATACATCTTATGAACTAATGTAACAATATGTACCCTTGTCATGGGTCGCTTGTCTTTGCGAGGTAGCAGTCATCGCACTTCTTGATTGTGGAACTTTCTTCTGGCATCTTGCTTTCTAGTCAAATTTGATCTTCAGAAATTCAAATGTAATGTCAATCGTTATCTTTTGTCTTCTTAATTTCTCCTCTAAATTGTCCTCTCTTCCTATCATATTCATGTCATATTCTCTTACAGTCAGTAATCGCCTGCGTATCAGCGGCTTTATTGCCTTGCTTGGGGGAAAGGATTAAAAAAAATGAATATGATTGAAACTCGGAGTTACGATTTGAAACTAGTCTTTTTGTGCTGTTTTGCTGAATTTATTTGCTAGAGACATTGAGCACTTTGGGTTATTGCCGAGATATGTGTCCGTTTTTATTTTTCTCTTTTGTTATTTTCCTTTTATATTTCCTTACACTTCTTTGTTGTTGATTTCTTTTCATTTTATCGTTTTCGTTTGGCATCTTGGTGTTGGAAGGGTTCCATTTTAAAGCTTTACCAATATTTCGGTTTGGTTTGTTTTGTTTCACGGCATATCAACCACAATGGGTTATTTAATGCCGACAAAATCCCCACTTTTTTTAAAAAAAATGTATAGCTGGTAATTTTTTCAGAAATGTATAGCTGGTAATATTTTTTTTTTCAAAAATGTATAGTTTTTTTTTTTTTTTTTTTTGTGGTATATTAACCTCAATGGTTTATTTAATGCCGACAAGATTTTTATTTCTGGTAATATTTTCTTTTTTCAAATATTTATTGCTGATACTAATTTTTTAAAAAGTATTTCTGCTATTAAAATCTATTTTTTACACTTTCATAGTGATTTGAGTCAGGTTGTGGGGTTAACTATTTGTCCATAGCTGGGACCCAAACAGGGTCAAGGTGGACCTGGGAACACCAGCAATTAAGAGGTGGTTCCACGCTCCTGAAAACCTGGTCAGAGGCCTTGCTGTTGGACGTAGTTTATCGTCTTATCCAGAACGCGGATGCAGTTTATTTTCATACCCAGGACGGTTTTTCGGTTTGGTTAAACGCACACACACGCACAAACATTCACGCACACACACGCACAAACATTCACGCACACACAACCATTCACGCACACACCTGTATATATTTAATTGTTCAGTTTAGAAGTTGTCCGGTTTTCCATTCTCTTCACTATTCTTTCTACTCCCTGTTACCTCTTCTCGCCTTCTTTTTCATTTTGTCTTTCTTTCTTTCTTTCTTTCTTTCTTTCTTTCTTTCTTTCTTTCTTTCTTTCTTTCTCGTTCGTTATTAACTCATTCTGATCGTTTTTCTTTCTTTTTATTTTTTATTCATTCTTTTGCATTCATTCATGTTTCATCGTCACTCTATATTCGTTATTCCATCTATTCTTCCATTATTCAATTTTGGTTTCTTTTTTTTAATCAGAAGTTTTTTCCACCTTCTATCTTTTTCTATTTTATTTTTCTTTTTTTCATATTTAGCATTTCATTCTTTAACCCCCACCCCTGATTTCCTTCTCGTTGATTATCTTTTACTTATTCTTTTTTTTGTATTCATTCACGTTTTTTGTTTATTTTATCTTCGTTTTTACTTGAGTTCTTTTGGCGTTACTTTTTATTTTATTTTTCTTTCTTTTTCATTTCTTTCTCTCTTTTTCATTCCTTATAACCGCATTCTTTACATCCTTCTTTCTTTCTTTCTTTCTTTCTTTCTTTCTTTCTCGTTCATTATTTCCCCATTCTTTACCTTTTTCTTTCTTTCCTTCTCACTCGTTATTTCCTCATACTTTACATCTTTCTTTCCTTTACGTCTTTGTTTCTTTGTTGCTTTCTTTCTTTCATCCTCATTCGTTATCTGCTCATACTTTACGTCCTTATTTCATTATCTCTTTCTTTTTCATTCAATATTTCCTTATTTTTGTTTTTTTCGTTCGTTCCTTTCTTTCTATGGATTTCATTTTCCTCATTCTTTACATTTTTATATCTTTATTTTTCATTAGTTATCTCCTCTTTCTTTTTTCTTTCTTTCTCATTCGTTATTAACTCATTCTGAACGTTTTTCTTTCTTTCTTTCTTTGTTTCTTTCTTTCTCATCGTTATTAACTCATAGTTTACATCTTTCTTTGTTTCTTTCTTTACTTCTTCGTTTGTTTCTTTGTTTGTTTGTTTCTTTCTCGTTTGTTATTTCTTCATACTTTACGTCTTTTTTGTTTCTTTGTTGGTTTCTTTCTTTCTTTCTTTCTTCCTCATTCGTTATCTCCTCATACTTTACGTTTTTATTTCCTTCTCTCTTTCTTTCTCATCCAATAATTCATCATTTTATTTTGTTCGTTCCTTTCTTTCTATTTCGTTTTCCTCATTCTTTACATTTTTATTTCTTTATTTTTCATTAGTTATTTCCTCTTTCTTATTTCTTTCTTTCTCATTTGTTATTAACTCATTCTGAACGTTTTTCTTTCTTTCGGTTTCTCTTTCTTTCTTTCTTTCTTTCTTTCTTTCTTTCTTTCTTATTCGTTATTAACTCATTCTGAACGTTTTTTTCTTTCGTTTTTCTGTCTTTCTCATTCATTATTTACTAATTCTTCTTGACTCCCTTTTATTTTCTTTCTTTTTCTCATTCTTTATTTCTTCATTCATTATTTCTTTCTTATTCATTATGTGCTTCTTCTTTGCATTCTTCATTTCTTTACTATTCAATATTTCTTCACTGTTTTGGTTTTCTTAGAGTCGAATATATATATATATATATACCTCTCTTTATCCATTTTTCATTCGTTTTACGTCATTCTTAACATATATCTTTTTTCTTTTTTTGCTACTTTCTTTTTCATTATTCGTTCAATCATTCATTTACTTTCTGTTTTTACTTATTTATTTTCTTTTCAATACTTCTTCATTATTTTCATATTATAGATTGTTTTATTTTATCTATTTTAGTATCATTTTCTCTTTCTTTCTTTCGTTCTTTCTTTCTTTCTTTCTTTCAATCTTTATTTCTTCCTTTTGAATTACTTACTATTTATTGTTTTCTTTTTACGTTTAAACGTTTTCACTGCGCTCATTTTCCAGCTAATCCACCATTTTTTTTTACCAAAGTTACTTTTTCTTTCTATTTTGGGAATGTCGTGTGGTGTGCAGCGAACAGGCTTTGATATTGACAGACTTGTTATCCAATGGAAAATAAAACAAACATTCCTCTTCCGACTTTAACCTCATAAAAATTCGAGAAAGTTTTTTTCCCCAGCAGGAAAGAACCAAAAACAAATAATGAAAAAAATGAAATGAAGAAGTACGCGAAAAAAAAATGTCGTTGCCCTTCGCAAATCTTGTCCGCCTTAAAAACGCACACTCAAACGCATGCGCGCGTACACAAGCATAAAAATATATATTTCTTAATGCCTTTACAGGCATGCATCTCCTAAATACACCAATTTCACAAGTGAACCGCTCTGGCGTAGATACAGTTAGAGATTCGCGTGTTGCCACGCACAAAGTCACACACGTTGTCTTGTGATTTTGTGGGTTGATAAGTGCACGTAGAGAACACTTGGATTTATAAATACAGATGGGGATATGCGGTGGGATTTTCTAGTACATTTTTAGACATAATCTCCATCGTAGCATCTAGACATGTACATACATATGTACACGTGTACATATGCTTACATGTGTACACGTTCTTATTTGCATATAGCAATGGAAATCACTCACACACTCAAAGAAACTTACAACTATACTTTATCAAAACTTTCATTTGAAAGAAATGCAAATGGTACGTGTATCTTTGTGTGTGTGTGCATTTGTGTGTATCTGTTTGTGTGTGTATGTATGTGTGTATGTGTGTGCGAGGCGTTATTCAAAAGTTCAGAGTACTTGAGGCACGAAGTTGATTTCTCAAAAAAGTAAAATGACAGAAAACAAATGATATTTTCCCTTTCCCTTGAAGATTAAGAGATTGATGACTCAAACTGAATCCTTCAAAACTTTGTTATCATGTCGTATATATATATATATATATATATATATATATATATATATATATATTTATGTAAGCGTGTGTGTGTGTGTGTGTGTGTAGTAGTTAAAGAAATTGAAGCCATCTACCATACTCATTTATATATGCATATATATCTATATATACTGACACGCACATATATTAAGGTATGCTATATTCATGGGTTAAAGTGCTCATAATATGAGGGATAGATCGTTTGTAAATATAATATGAGGGATAGATCGTTTGTAAATATAAAAGTGGTCATTGAGGTCAAGATCCAGCGGCGACTGTCTGTTTCATACTTAAATGCAATCTTCAGTCAATCTCTCCCCACCCCTATATATATATATATATATATATATATATATATATATATATATATGATAAAATATATTTTAAAGTGCTCAATATGAGGGATAGAACGTATGTAAATATAAACTTGTACACTGAGTTCAAGAACCAGCAGCGACATCCTTTTTCATGTTTAAATGCAATCTGCCACGCATCAGCCCTAGAAACTGATTCAATGTAATCATTCCACTTCATGTAAGCGGAAAACGTAAACTACTGATGGCGCAATGAGTTCCTTTTCTGGAAGTTTCCATCAGCCATACTGGTGGAAGGCAAATGGTTTTCTAAGATGACTAAGAGATAAGTTTTATTTTAAAAACGTTAAAATTTACAAGCCATTTCTTGCCCCAGATAACAACTGATTGAAAGTTATTTTGGAAATCTGTTGCTAGTTTTCCTTTGTGGAACTTACATAGGTAGTAAATAGTTGTGTCATTAGCATAGATAGAGAGTTGTAAAAGTCGTTGATGACGAAACAAAGTAATTCGAAGAATATGGCCCTAGGGCACATCAGCGACAATGTGAAATAATCTACAAGAGTAGCTGTTCAAGAGTACATGATATGTTAAAAACGGTTGGATCAAATCAAAAAATCTGCTGAAGACACCATAGCCTATAATTTTGTGAGGAAGACCAGCATGTCAACCCCTGCCAAACGCCTTCCGTTAATTGCTTTTGAGTGGTGACTCAATCAATTCCAGGTAGGTCTGTTGACTCATAAGTCCAGAAGCATCTACACATATCAAGCCATTCTGTTAGTATAACTAACCACACTGCATCCATTGAGGTCACCCATCAGAATACTGACCAATGTTGATGGGACGTGTGTTTTGGTAGCAATCCCTCTTTTATACAAGTTCCATTAAAAAGTGGATGTATAGATTGTTTTATGTTTGTATCTAGAGTAAAAGGAATGTACATAAAACAATCCATAGATTCAGCTAAATATAAAAATAAAATCATCTTTGATTATGACTAAAAAGTATAATCGAAAGCGGCCAGCAATACAGAACATCCGGACAATCAGTTATGCCCAGAAAAGAAAAGAAATTCTAACAACACAAAAACAAATCTTGACCGCAGTACCTTGTCAGTCGTTTTTTTAACGTTATATATATATATATATATATATATATATATATATATATATATATATATATATATATATAATTATGAAAGGGAGACTTTAGAAAACCCATGGTAATATTTTATTTCGGTTTTACGAAATAAAACATTGCCATGGATTTCTAAAGATTTCACTTTCATAATTATCATTTGCTCTGTTCATATAATTGAGCTCTCTTTGGATTTAGATTTTCTTTGGAATTATCCATACGGATTATCTATCTATCCATTTATCTATATGGAGAGAGAGAGAGAGAGAGAGAGAGAGAGAGAGAGAGAGAGCGATGGATAAATTGTCTAAATTACGCAAAAAATGAAAATAACACTGACATCTCATTTTAACCAATATATTTACTAAAGTTATACAATAATGTCTTGAAATACTAAAAAGTAAATTTATTCAATAATATCACTATTGGCTTCGACCACGGCTTGCTGACAACTTCGGGATTTCCTGCACCTCCTCTAGACGGTCTTATTTAAGTTGGTGAATGATGCCATAATCTTTACCTTCATTTCATATTTGGTGTTACGAAGGTGCTTTGTTGGCCAGTCGCTCAACTACACTCCACAATAATCAAGGGGGTTGTAGTCTGGTAGTTAAGTGTCCAGATGTAAGGAGTGATGTTGTTGCAGAAATTTTCTGACAGCCTTGAATGAGTTCGCCTGCTTGGGTGGCATGGTGTAGAGTCCTGTTGCCAAACATAGGGTCTTCCAGCAGCCACCGTCAGGGCCCAGACATTTGATGTACGCCTCCATGTTGACATTGAGGCCCTCACCAATATATAAGGGAGTTCTTTTCTTATCAGAACGATCAGATTGATTTTTCCGAGCTGCTGTACCTTGGTTATAACCATTAAGCTCAGTCTGAGGCCCTTGTGAGAAGATGAATGGAGGCATAATGTCGCCATCACTAGTGATCACTCCAAACACCTTTGTAATAAAAAATAATCTCATCCAACTCTTTTCGAATTCTCTGCACTGTCCTCAGAATGACACGTAAACACTATGAAATGTTCGTATTGGAGGTTCCGGCACGAATGTCAAGCAGCACAGCATGCCATTTCCAAATTTCTGGTGGAGTGAATTGCGTCATGGTGCTCTTTTTCTCACAGACGGTGTCCAAATGACACTATTGTACTATATGCGGCTAATAAAAATGAAAAGCAAACAATGCGCATGCGCGAAATTAAAATTATAAAATGGCATTAATTTACCCGTAGGTAAATTGTCGCCATTTTATATTTTTCAAAATTTTTAATTTCGAAACAGCATGTTGTAGACTGTAAGAAAATTTGTTTTAGAAATAATAATAGTTTAATAGTTTTAATAGTTTGTTTTTAGAAATAATAATAGTTTGGGGGAGAAGTGTTCGATTCATATTTTTCCAAGGGAAAGTGAATATAATGAACCTAACGGAATTTAAACTCGGCTCTCCTATTAAGAATTCTGAGCCGTTATATGTTTCCCCACTAGAACATCTAAGCTTCCAGACCCTGGTGTTCCCAAGCGGTCACCATCGAGGTACTGACCAGGTTCGACGTTGCTTAACAGGAACTGGTATTTCAACGTGGTGTGGTCCTAAGTCTACATTGTTAAGTGAATGTTTTATTTCTCCATATAAGCGATAGAAACCATCTATGCACATATGTAAAATATGATACCAGCCATTTATACAATCTTTGAATCACTGATGATCATAAAATTTAACCCGCTCAAAACAAAACATTTTATGAAATTATGATAAAGTTTTTCACGATGGTTATTTTATTTTTTATTTTTTTTTTGCTAATTTTCTAAAAACACGTCCTTGATAGGCAGATGCTACTGTCTTTTCCATCGCGAAAAAATAATGTCGCATAAGACCCGTTGTATCTCAGAAAACTACTGCCATAACTTTTCCTCCTGACCGTCTTGTATTATTTCATTGGGCCCTTTCCACTTTTGGCCAATCATTGCTTTGACTGAGTCTTGTTTTCAGGATCCTCATAAACCGATGCCGATGGTCTGCCGACCTGTTCTTCATCTTCAACTCTGTCTCTTCCAATTACAAATATCCATTGGTAAAATGTCGACTCTCTTGGAGAATTATCTGCATAAACTTTTTCAATGCACTAATGATATCGTTAATCATCTAAAAATGTTTACAATAAATTTGATGCTAGTTCTTGCTACAGTTTTGACAGGATTCATGCAGTTCTGTAGAGAATTTATACTAAGTTGGCGTAATTTTCAGTCTATGACTTCGATTTATTTCCGGTTAATACAAGTTATAATACGCAAGCACAATTTTTCTTTGCTGCAACTATCAAAACGTAGATTTTTTAGAATATTCTGTTTCTACTAACGTTTGGAAGGCTACTAGTAAATATGATTTAAAAGTTTTGGGAATATTTACGACAACAGGGCTGCAATAATTCGACAATACAAAAGACACGTAAAATAAGGATTGAAAAAAAAAAACAAGATGTTGACACACTATCTTTCGCTCACATGATTTGCAGAATATTTTGAATATACTTTCTGGCTATTAAGTGAAAAGTAATGGGAATTAACACCAACATAAAATATATATCATGCTTCTGTTGCAAGTGAAGTCTTTCAGCGCTCAGCGGATGTGACCTTACGCCAGAACTAAATTTGCCCAAGAATTATCCACAGTTTTTATTATTAATTCAAAGAAGGAATGACATCTCTAGTAGAGGGGGTCATTGGCAGGCTGATTCTACATGCAAAATATCACACAAGAATTATGAATACTACAAGTATTAGTTCATGTAGTTTTACCTATTTTTGACTGTGTTCACCGCATCGGCGATCAATCGATTATCGATCACGGAAAGTAAGTGATAAAGGGAACTTATCACAGCCTGTAAATGATGATGATGATGATCATCATCATCAGAAGAAGAAACAGCAGCAATAACAATGCAATGTTATTGTTGCGCACACATTTAAAAAATCGGCCTGATCTCTGACAGCTTTCATTTTGATTGATTCGTTTTTTACGGCTTATCAACCCTTTGCAGGTTATTTAAAACCAGAAAATATTTTTAGATTGTAAGATTTTTTGAGATAATAATGGTTTAGTGATATATATCTTACTAATTAACCCATAACTGGGGTAGAAGTAGATCAGAACCTTTCCCAAGGGTATTTGCGCATGAGTGAATATAACGAACCCAACTGGAATTGGAACTCAGCTCTCCGATTAACAATTCCGAGCCATTATCTATTGCACCACCGCACATCCAAACTTACAGCATTTGTTATTACCAAGCGGTCACTCATGTGGGTACTGACCGGGCTCAACGTTGCTTAACTTCGGTGATCGTACGTCATTACCTTGATGTGTGAACACTTAGGGATACCAATACTAAATAATCGTGAGATGGAGTGGGTTAGTAGCGGTGGATTAATACCTTTCCCAAGGGTTATTTACACGTAAGGCAATATCACAAACCCAGCGGGAACAGGATCTCAGCTCTCCAATTAAGAATACCGAGCCATTATCCATGATACCACTCGCACATCAAAGCTTACAGCCTCTGGTATTCCTAAACAGTCACCCATCGTGGTACTGATCAGGCTCGACGTTTCTTAACTTCGGTGATCGTACTGGAAACGGTGTTTGAACATGATATGCCCGTAAGCCAAATGATGGAAAATCTCGTCACAAAGAGACTTGAGGCAACAGAACGGTCGTTCTATAGAAGGGTGTTGAAAATATCAGGGACTAGACATGTTAGTAACGAGGACGTTTTAAGCGAAATGGGGAGAAAAAGAACGCTTATATTTAAATTCAGATTGAGACTGGAGAAATTCCGAGGGTACATAATGGAGAAAGAGTATTTGGAGAATTTGACACTCACAAGACATGCTGAAGTTAAGAGAGACAGAAGAAATCAGCGGCTAATCGTAAATGGTTGGCAGAAGAAAAAGTAGGAGGCATAGTGAAAAGACAAACTTTACAAAGAGTTATTTTTTATTAGGTAAATAATGTCTAAGTGTAGAATATCCCTTTTAATTGTGGTCTAATATATTTTTATAATACAGAGAAACCTCGGTTCTCGAACGTCTTCCATGTCGAACAAATCAGTTTTCGAAAAGAAAATTCGAGAAGAAAATGCCTCGGTTATCGAACAAAATTTTGGTTCTCGAACAACATTGCCGAACCGAGTTAACCCGAACGGAATCATTTCTGATTTTGTATACATTCCTGTATTGTGATGTGCTTTTCTTTTCCAATTTTATTGTACTGTGCCTTTTTTCTCTTTTCATTAGTCCTCAGTCATGGCTCCAAAGAAAGCTAGCAGTGATAGTGGTAAAGGAAAAAGAAAATTTGAGAGAAAAACAATTGTTGATGATATTGTCTCTTCCTACTCAGTTCCATATTGCAAAATCAACGATCTATGCTATTTTTATAAATAAAGAGACGATCATGTCTTTCCTTCCCTTTTCCAAACAATAACATGACTTTCCTTCCCCTTCCATTTACGCCATCAACTTACCTACATACAGCTACGGTAAAATTAAAATGTTCTTCTATATTTTATCTGTTTTTGTATTGGGTTTATTTACTTTTTCTTAGAGTTAATGATTTTCATTAGTTTTGTGTATAAACTTGTGCACAAAGGGCTTTTGTAAAAGTTTAATTAAGCAATCACCTTGGGACCAGGAATAGATTAATCCATTTTACAGTGATTCCTTTCGGAAAATAGTTTCGGTTAACGAACATCTCAGGTTACGAACGAGCTACAGGAACGAATTAACTTCGTGAACCGAGGTTCCACTGTAATTGAATAATGTTGCTATATCCGATCTACTGCTCCTGTTATTCATCTCGAGGTTCTTGACAAGATCCAAAGAAGAATCTGCAATGTAATCGACCCTGACCTGGCATCTTCAGTCGCTTTCTCACCGACACGACGTAGCTTCTCTCTGTCCTTTCTACAAATATTTTCATGGCAACTTTTCTGACGAACTTTTTTTCCTTGGTGCCCGGCTACATGAATTTGCCACTAGATTGACATCTAGGTTATACTCTTTTACTGTTGAAATAGTTAAGTTTAACCGCCACTTCTACTCCAACAGTTTTCCCCGCATCTCCCGCCTGTGGAACTCAATTCCGTTTACTTGTTTCACTGATAACTACAATCTTCAAAAATTTAAATGCAACGACAATCGTCATCTTTTATTTTATTGAATCCTGTTCATCTTTTATCATGTCCTCAATCCTCGCTATAACCAGTCTTTTCTCTGAATTTCACTCTCTCTAAACCGCTGCGTACTAGTGGCATTCCCGTCTTACTTGGGATTAAATGATTGAAAAAATTGACAAATTATATATTACTCATGGCTAATGGTTAAAATGCCTAGTTGTTGATTTTACACCAAGCTCTTTAAGAATTTAGCTTAAAACATTATATAGCTCTCATCATGAACATGAAAAAAGAAGAGATGTATTTATTTTGGTCATGAAGCTTCTTAAAATTCTGCCAACATTAATAGTATGGGTGTAGGATCAATTTGTGATCAAAATGTCCGGCACTGTTTTCCGAGGTTTCGAAGTGGGGATACGAATCTTGAAGATCACTGTGGTAGAGGACGTCTATATGCAATTCATAATCAATATCTGACACGTATTAGTCGGACACAACTCACCTTTAATTGTCAGAAAAATGTCTATGATAAAATGTGTCATCGTTTCAACAATATTGGGCCATCTAAAAAAAAATGATAAAGTGAAGAAACTCGATAAATGGATTCCATATGAACTCAGTGAAACTCAAACGGTTCGGCGTTTTGAAGTGTGTGCAAAATTCGAATGATCCATTTCTTCATTGAATATTGATTTGTGATCAGAAATGAATCCTTTATGACAATCGTAAACGATCGACTCGATGGCAAAATGCGACTGTCATTGATTAATCGGCGAATTCCAGTTCTGCTTCATGTCACTGCTCGGTCACCTGGGGGCGGGAGGCAGGATGACGTTGAAGAATTTAACCGATTTGGAATACGAGATTTTTCCACATCGATCATATTCATCTCATCTTTAGTCCACTGGCAACTAATTTTCAAGCATCATTTTTAAGCCAAGACATTCTGTTACAAAGAAGATACAAAAAAATAGCATCCAAAGATTTCTTGACATCCAAATATAAAGACATAAATAATCTTGTAACCCTATGGCAGAAATGTATAGATGTTTAGATGTTCCTATTTGGACTGATTTAAAGACTGTTTAAATACATTCATTTACGTATAAAAAGTTGATTATATAATGCGACTTTATTTTTCGAACAATCTAATGCAAAGCATAGAAAGTAGTGGAGAGGGATGATCGCTTATATTCAGAAGGGATACGACAGATAAAAGAAAAATGAAATGAACAGTTTTTAAAATGTCGTCCTATTTATTCAAATGCTGCATTCATTTCTTTCCAAAGTATGTTTCTGTTGCCTCGCTATGGATGCAGTCATTAAAGTTAATGTAAGTTTTGGCGTGTTTGGTCAATAAATTCTGCCTGTGAATTTATTGACTTGCATAAACTGCTCACATTTTCGCAGTAACGAGAAGTTATTTGCACATTTTTTCCTTAACAAAATGATAGGAATTCAAACTGCATTAATACGATTAGATTTAAAACTTAAAGCGGAAATTAATTTCCGTAGGGGCATTAAAAGAGATTCACGGCTGCACAACGAAATATGGCGATTCAAGGCAAACATTGATATGTACAATGATCGGAAGTGACTGAAATGGATACTTGCCAATAATAATAATAATAATAATAATAATAATAAAGAAGAAGAAGAAGAAGAAGAAGAAGAAGAAGAAGAAGAAGAAGAAGAAGAAATTATGAGAAAAGAAAAATATATGTCCCTTGTCGATTCACGTCGTGGGTGATTATGGCCCTCCACAATTTCATGTCCCCTCTGGCTCTAAGAAACAATTGACAAGATTTGGGACTCGAAACTTCCATCCTCCTTAAAAGTGCAAACTTTTCGAACATTGATTGAACCAGTCCTACTATATGGATCAGAAACTTGGATATTATTTGTCTTGAAAGTCGGCTGGATGTAAATATCCAGAACATTGGAAATCCCCTGTAACACTTACCACAATCTACAGAGTACTGACCAGTATCCCTTAAGCTCAAACAAAAACGGCTACAGTTTGCCGGACACTGCCACCAAGCGGACAGGGAAGTCATCTGATCCTTACTTCTATGGCATTCTTCTGGAGGTCTCTGCTCAAGAAAAGTGACTTTCCCAAGCACCATAGCTCGGGATTTAGGATTGGACATTGGGGAACTGGAGATAGTAATAAAGGACCGAACAGTGGGGAAAGGAATTAGCAATGGATTTCCAACCAACCGTAGGAAGGTCGAAGGATGATGATGATGATAAAAAAAACTTTTAGAAACAGTTTTATCCCCGTTCTACCAAATACTCTTGCAAATTTGTCAGGCAGGTCTCTCGATATTTCCTTCTTACACTCTTGATTTCAATGCGTCCTGTGAGTGTCAAATTCTCTAAGACGTCTTCCCTCATGAAGAAGAAGTAGATGGGGATATCTCAAGGTCGGTTAACCTCGTTCGCTCTGACGGTTCCGATTAAGATTGAAAACAAGTATTTAGATATTACTCCTAAGTCGCTATGGCTGCTTCATCTTTCAAGTTGAAAATATCCTTTCGACACTCGGCTTTGATCCTATTCGATTACTCACGCACATGTACCTCAAAGGCACATTACTTTCCTAGACCAGATCGTACAAGTCTTGCGGATTCGACAATATCCCGCAATTGTCCTAAAGAAATGTTTTGTAATCTCAACGCTTTATAATAAACGCCTCACCACTTCTTGCTTTCTAACTTGCAGGAAGACCTCCGCTGTAGAACCATCTAAACTCTCGAATTATTGCCCTAGTAGTCTCGTACCTCTTTCTGGCAAAGTATTAGAGGTTCTAATGAATACGGAAGTGTTTAAGCATCTTACTTCAATACGCAATATGGCTTCTGTTTATCCAGGTCTGCAACCGATGTGTTAACAGTCATCGTTGAATTTGTCTATCAAGTTTTAGATAAGAACAGCCGAGCTGCGATCCTAAATATCTCAAAGTTGTTCAACGGGGTTTGACATCGTGGCGTTCTTCAACAGCTCATGAGCTCCAAGTTGAAGAGACAGCACATCTCTTCAGAATTCTGATTTTGATTCATTTTGCTGTCTCTTTGCTAAAGAACGAAAAATGTGGAAATTAAGAATGAGGAAACGCAAAAAAGAATTGTAACTCTGAAATCAAAAGAATACCGAAAAAATAGTATTGAGTAGATTTGCTATTTGGTTGGTGCATAATTATCAGGCGTTTTTGTAGGCGATATGTTAATAAAAATTGCTGTTTTCTTTACCTTTTAATAAAAACTATTATTTCATTTTCCGGTTATAAAAGTACGTGTCGATAATCAAATTATTTAAAAATGTTATTGTTGAATTGTTGTGTTTTATTTTTTTATAGAATTGTTTAAAGAAACAACTGATAATTATGCACCATCCCAGTATTATTTCATCCCCAATTAAGTTCACGTTTCCTAACGCAGGATGAGATTTGAGTTTTTAACTTTGAGCCAGAGCATAAGATTCAATCCAT